TGGAATCTTAAAGATAAGGAAGAGACTGACATCTTCTCTTATTTTAGAGAGAGAAGAAGAAAATAAGAAATGAGAAGAATGGTCCGTAGGGATGGCCATTTGGGGTTTATATACCCCTTCCCAAACGATGTCGTTTTGGGGAAGGATATATGCATAATTTAATAATGGGTAAACTATAACCGCTGCCCTTACTGTTTTGAGACTTTGCATTATAGTCACTGAAATCAAATCTTGAGCATTTTAATTCGGTCTTCCAATTTTATTTATTTATAATTTAGTCATTAACCTTATTTATATCATATTTAGGGTAAATACTCATTTTAGTCCCCTATAATTTTAAAAATTGATATTTTAGTCCCGTATTATTATTATGATAAAATTATGTTGTTCATATATATATATATATATTATATAATATTTCAATTTATTTATATTAATTATTATATTTTATATTTTAATCACTGATTTTTATATAATTTTAATTTTGAATGTACGTTTTTTTACATTTTAATATTATTTTTTTAATTTCTTTTATTTTGGTCATAATTTAATTATAATTTTATTATTTTCCTTTAAATTTTAATATGTTTAAATTAATACTTTAATTATTATTTTATTATTTTACACATATAAATATATATATTTAATTAAATTTCTAATATTTATTTATTTTTTAATATTAAAGAAAGGGGTTGTCTTAAAGTAACTAGATGTCATTTTCTGATATTTTTAAATAAAAAAATACTATATTTTAGTTTTATTATTATATTGTTATTAATATTTATTTATTTATTTATTAATATTAAAGAAAGTGGTTGTCTTAAAATAACTAGATGTCCATTTATGATATTTTTAAATAAATAAATACCTTATTTATAAAACCTTAAGTATATATATATTTACTTATTTACTTTAGTTTTATAAAAATCATTTTATATATATTTTCCTTTAAAATTATGCGATTAAATCTAGAATAAGAGGATCATAAATTAAATTTATATTAGAATTTTTAAAATTCTATTATTAGAGACAATTTATAATCGACAGAGACCAATTTTGGGTGTTTTGGGGGTACTAATCCTTCCCCAAACGTAACCGACCATGAATCCATTTTTATTATTAAAAATAACGAATTTTTGGTTAAACGCAGATCGGTTTATCTTTTAACTGATGTTTTCTTAAAAACTCTTTTAAAAGATGATTTTTAGGTATTCGACCTACCTAACCCAAAAGGCAGATGGCGACTCCCAAAACATTTCAATAAACGCAGATCGATTACGACATACTCCTTTCTATATTAGGATTTTGTCAAGCTCTCAACAACTTTCTGCCCGTGTATCAATTGCTACAGAAATGGCCCAATAGTGTCTCCTCATATCAGTGCACAACAACAACTATAGCATCAGACAACGTCACAAAATCAGGGTAACAATATCGAACAAAATATCATAATTAGTCCAATAATTACCAAATTACTCCCAACAGTGCAAGTAATGCAAACTTAACTAAAAATTCTAAATATAATCCTAATATGCTAAAGTGAAAACATAAACCTATGTAAAAATGCTCTAAATAAAACACTTTTAGATAGTTATCACCACCCGAAACCTAAGTGTTTCCTTTTCCTCACGCAACTTCAATGCAAAGAAAACTATGCTAAATAAAAATGTTGCCAAGCCAACTTAGATTTTTAATTGATTTTCAGTTCTTAGAATATTTTATTGATGCCACAAATGCAGTAACTTTAACTAATCTCAAATTAAGGAATGCATTTTGAGTTCGTAGAAAAAATTGATCTTACTCACTTTTTAAATTTTCAATGCTATAAAAATATTATCCTCACTTTATTTCATTGTTGGAGTCAGTGTATGGAATCTCCAGGATCTACTTTATTTATATTTCATTACTAGAGCTACTTTTAGGCACCTCTAGTATATAAATTTGAATATTATTTTTTTCTTTCTTTTTTTTCACTAGAGCTAGTTTTGGGAAACTCTAGTGTCCTTTTGTCCAAATCAATGCTACAACCAATGTTGGGCACCTCTAGCATGTTTTATTTAAAAAAATTGAATATTTACTATAATACCTACTAACGTCTTGAGATTTGCAAGGTTCAATAATTTCTAATGTCTCTAAGTATTAAAAGCACACACTCATTGTGTTAATGTTTTTCGTAAAATCCTAACCTTATCAAGAATCTAACTCATTCCTCATACATTTCACAACTAAAAAATCATCATCAAACTTCATCAAAAAGAGTTTAAAATTTTTATCAACTTCAACATCAACCTAATCTTAAAACAGCGAGAATATGAACAAAAATGGACCATGAACATGATAAATACAAATGCAACATACAAAAATGAGTGATATACCCCCAAACCTGAGATGTGTATTGCCCTCAATTCATACATAAATAAATAATAATAAAAAATATAAAGTAAAAGATGGGATAATGGACAACAGTACTCCCCTAATGATGTTAAAGACGATATGCAACAATGGTTATTTGGAACTCTGACTAATGTTGTGAAGCAAAGGTAGTAATAATAGTACGAACTGAGGATGATGCGATGATTAATGTGGAGGCATTACCTAAAAAAAACTCTAGATAAAAGAAGTAAATAGAACTAATAAATTAAAAAAACAAAATCTTATAAAATGATTTATTGAATGCATGTGAAAAATTATTTCATGTGTAAAATTAAAGTTTTTGGTAACTTCTCATGAGTCTTATTAAAATGATATCCCTTTTTGCTTGTCGATGGTTGTTTTGACATAATCATACAATTTCATATCCTTTGCACTTTTGGAATTGAAACATTGTTCAAAGTAAAACTCTTTCTTATTGAAATCAATCTTGAATCACATTTCTTCATTGTCGACATAGATATGTGGTGGCTTCATGGGATGAATTTTCAAATAAGAGTCTTCATCATCAAAGCCTTGTGAATCCTTCCTCATTGCCCTCATCGATGTTGTTTTACTTCGTACCATGGTATCATTTGTGGTGTTCTTCAAGTCCTCATGTTGGGACTCTGTAGTTGACATTAGTGATGTTGAATTATTGATGATGGCAGAATCAATGTAAAAGTATTGGTTCCCCTCTTGCTTGTTTGAGTCTTCTCTTTTCTGCAATAATATTAAAGAGTTCTTTAATGCTTCCACATTCATCTAATTTCTCTTGTACTACTGCTTCGATAATGTCAATAGCATTACATTTGTCTTCTTCATCGCATGACAATGGGTTGAACACATTGAATATAATTTGTTGGTCATTGAGATGCAATGTGAGTTATCCCTTCTCAACATCAATCAATGTTCATCCAATAGAAAATAATAGTCTTCCTAGAATTATGGGAACCTTTTATTGGCTTTACAGCCCAAGAAAATAAAGGCCACTAGATAGATAAATTTTTCCACTCGTATTAGTACATTGTCAATCTTGCCTTCAGGGAAGATAGTGGATCGACCGACAAGTTGAAGTGTAACTATTTTGGGTTGTGCTTTACCAATCCGAAGTTTCCTAAAAATAGACAAAGACATTTACTTATTGCTGGAGCCTAAGTCCCATAAAGCTCTATCTATGTATTGATTGCGAATAGTGCATGAAATAGTAAAATTCCTTGGATCCCTTAATTTTTGGGGAAATTTTTTATAACGATGGTTTTACACCCTTTAGTGAGTGCAACGGTCTCAAAATCACCAATTCTATATTTCTAAAAAAATGCCTCCTTCATAAATTTAACTTAGCTTGGCTTTTGCTCCAATGCTTCCAGTAATGGTATGTTAACGTGCAATTGGCACAACATATCAATGAATATTCTAAATGGTTGGTTCTTCTTGCTTTTCTAGAATCGTTGAGGAAATGGAGGTGGAGGTTTTAGATTTTGTTGCATTAAAAATGTTGGTGGCATCAAATGTGGCAATATTATAGGTATTACTGGTGGCAATGTCCAAGAATTACTGCTGGCAATGTTCAAGAATTATTGCTTTGTCCTGCATCCTTTGTTTTGGCATCAATATTGGGTATTTCAATCTCACATCCAACTCTTTTCTTTTTTCTTGTTGTCTAGGTTCCTCATCATTCTATTTCTTATTTTCATTATTTGATTTTTCAAGATGGAGTCCACTACGTGTTGTGATGGCTTTACACTGTTTATCGTAAAGAGTTTCTCCATGAGCTATCAGAACTTCAGTGTCACTCAGTAATGATCCTTGTGGTTTGTTGCTCAAAGCTTTGTCTAGTTGTCCAAATTAATTCTCCAATGCTCTCAACAATGTTGAATGACTTTGGATCAAAGCTTTATTCCTTTGATCCATCGATTCATTTCTTGAGATATACTCCTCCAGTAGAGAGTCAAGTGATATTGAAGCTGAGACTTGGTTAGAAGACTACCCTTGAAAATTTTGCTATATGTTGTGTTGTTGTTATGGCATTGCCTCATTATGTGAATACTGAAGGTGTAGCATTGGTTGTTCTGAGTATACTATTGCTACTGATAGTGTCGTGTATTCCCAGAATTGGATTACAATGCAATATTAGGATTGAAATAATTCTAGAAATTTGGATTGTAGGTGTTCCCATATTTGTTGACGTTGTTAAACCTGTTAAAATTTCTCATAAAATACATAAAATCATGGTTTTGTGGACATTCTAAAAAATTATGGTCATCACCACAATAAACACAATTAAAAAATGTATATTTTACATTGTAGATACCTCTAGGCTTTTACATTTTTATCATCTATTTAGTAAATTATATCACATGTGTGGTCAATGTGTTTAGAGTATTGTGTTCCATTACTACATCAACGCGTCTACCCAACATAATCCTTGTATTAAGGTATTAGTAGTCATTGTTGGAAATCCTCTCTATGATATCATAAGCTTCATTTTTTGACTTGACTAGAAATGTTCCATTAGCATAAACATCTACAATTATCCTTGTTTTCATGTTAAGTCCATTGTAGAATATCCTCATTTGCGTCTAATGTTGGAACCATGCATTGAGAATTTCCCTAGTAAATCTTTAAATCGCTTTCATGCTTCATACAAGATCTCATCCTCCAATTGCATGAAAAATGTAATTTCATTCCTCAACCTAGCATTTATGTTAGGAGGATTGAGTCGTAAGAATAACTTTTTTGACAAGTTCATTCCATGATGTTATAACATTTGGTGGCAGCGAGTTAAGCCATGTCTTATCTTTGTCGCAAAGTGAGTATGGAAACAACTTCAGCTTAAAGTTTTCTTTAGACACTCCTTGTCATTTGAATGAGTCGCAAACTTCCATAAATGATCGCAAGTGTGCTCTAGGGTAGTCGGTGTGCGTCACAATATATTTCCCTATTGATTGCAATATTTGGAACATCACCAAATTTTATTCAAAGTTGGCAGCATGGATGATTGGTCAAACAATGCTAGGATTCAAATCATCTAATGTGGGCACAACACACTCACAAATTTGCTTATTCCTATGATTGACGTTTTGATAAGTTGGCAGCATCGGAATATTTTGAAAAGGTTGAACTATTCTAGTATTAAGAACTTCTTGTTGTAGATCTCATACCATCAATTATTTACTTGATTTATGCACCCAAAAAACTATTAAAATATACAAACAAAAGACTATGTTAGTAAAAAAACAACTCTCAAAGTAATGACACTAGTCCCCGACAACTTTGCCAAAACAACTTAATGCTTCAAATAATGTAACAAAAAATAGTGCAAGCATAAACTACCATATCAAGTAATAAAGTGGATGAAAATTAATGTATCAAATATCGTATCCATAGAGGCTCGTTACTCAAAGAATAATTATAACACTATCTAAGCAAAATAACATAATTGTATGGGTGATGTTGGGAACAAAGCAATAAAATATAATAGCTAAAATAAATATGTGAATAATGATATGAAGGGAATCACAACAATGGAAATGAAAGAAGTTGATCAGCTCAAGCAAAAGGTTATGGTATTGTTAAACCCAATTATGTAATTAATGATGTCATAGTAATAAGATCAGTGCATCTAGCATTAATAGCAAGTTTTCCTCTCTCGATGGCTCCACCCAGAAACTCACAACTCTATATCTCTATATCCACTTATAAAAATTTACTAAGTATGCTACTAAAATCAATCAACTAGATCTCTCTATACGTTGAACTTAGAATCACTATTGGTGTGATAGTGACAGTCATTTCTCGATGCACTACTCACATAATGACATTCACCTCTCGATGAAATGGAGTGAGCAATTATATATTTCTATACTAAATTCCTTAATAAAACCGAGAAAATACCAATCAAATCAATGGAAAAAACTAATTAAACATGAACTTCATAAAATATATTTAAAAATAATAGCATCCAAGGTTTAACAATCCAACATAAATTTATGAGTATTTCAACTATGCAAAAATAAAATCTACCTCTCGGATTCTTCTTATTGTTAATGTCGTTGATGCTCTCACAAATCACCAGCCACCACCTATCGGTGTTATAACTTTTGCCTTCACGTCCAGTTCTTGTTTTTTCCCAATGTTTCCTAAGCAACAATGGTTTACGATAAAGAAAAGAGAATAATTAAAGAAAACCCTAAAAAACTCCCTTTTTAATTAGTTGCATCTACCTACTTTATATAATGATTAAAAACCCTAAAAATAGAGTTTAAGATCGCATGAAATTGAGAATCCTTTTCTACTAAGACTCCTTACTATATTAGGATTTTGTCCAGTTGTCAATAGTTTTCTGCCAGCGAATCGAATGTTATAACAATGGCCCAACAATCTTGCCTCACATCAGTGCATAATAAAAACTTCAACATTAGACAACGTCACAACATCAGGGTAACAATATTATGACAAAATATCATAATTAGTCCAATAATTACTAAATCACTCCCAACAATGCATGTAATGCAAAATTAACTAAAACATTCTAAATATGATCATATTACGCTGAAGTACAAACATAAACCTAAGTAAAAAGGCTATAAATATTAACTCTTTTGTAGAGTTATTAGTGACTATTCATCTTTGGCGATGGTGAAATAAATAGAAAAAATTTTACGAAATTTATAATAATATTAGACATGATGAATGAATGAATGATTCTATAAGCTTTAGAATATTGTTTGGATCAATTTGAAAGTATGTAATGGCTACAGTACTAAATTCCAAAGCGTAAGAATAACAAGTTTTATATTGAAATTATTTGGAATTGATGTGGACTGCTTGAATATGTTGTTAGAATCTTGAGTTTGAAGTTATATAGAAAGGGGTCATTTAGGATATTATGGAAATGTTGAGATGAATTCTAAAAGAATTCATTTTAATGATTAAATTATGAAAATTGTATATGTTATGTGAATATTATTTGAATTGTACATTGAGAGATTTGAAGTTATATTGTGAAGGATTAATGGTATTTTGAAGCATTGATATTGATATTGATAAAATGAAATGGAATTAGTATTATATATGTAATGAAAGAATTTTTAGAAATTTTAATGCTAATGTGTGCCTATATTAGTAAGATTACTAATATGTACTTTGACATGTATTTGTTTTGTAAATATTGTACATGACGATCATGATCGAAATCGAGATACAAGTGAGTTTAAAACTAAAAGAAAAGTACAAGAGTGAAGCTTATATCGTTAAGAAAAGTTTGCTAGTGAGACATACCATGTGAGTGCATTCGTACTTAGATTATTATATGTATGATATGAAGAACACTTGCGATGATTGAACCTTGAATGTTTTGAAAAATGAATATGTTTTGAATCGTATTATGATATCTTTTCACAATGTTTTGTTAAATGGTATTTGAATGATTTCGGGTATGTACTGTCAAATGCGCTATTATATGACATTTTGATATAACTATCGATATTGATATTTATTATAAATGGATGATATATGATTTTGATAAAAAAAATGCCCATTGTATATACATTAAGATTGGCTGGTATAATTGGCATGCCATAGAGGTGGAGTATCATCAGTTGCATTATGCACATAGTAAGTGAATTCGATATTATATTGCAAGTTGCATTGAGTACATGGTAATGTGATTTTGATACCAAGTTAACTTAGGGAATGGAATACATAGTAAGTGAATTTAGTACTATGATATTCCTGATTATTGATACAAGATGTGCTCTATAGTGCGTGTATATCTGTCTGGCACTAAAAGTGTAATATGTGGATACTAGTGACCTATGTACCTTGCATTATCATTTCGTATACATTAGGCTATGAATTGAATGAATATGAAAAGTAAATGTTTGATCGATTCAATTAAAAGTAAATCTTTCATCGAATACTGTAATATCCCAAACATCGGGTCAATGACTATAATATAAGGATTTAAAATTTGGTGGTTTAATTTGAATAAATTAAAAAGTGCAATGACTGATTTAGGAAATTGTGTTTAAGACTTATTACTAAGACTGTAAGAAATGGAGAGGCATTATGGTCTTTTAGAAGGAAATGATTTAATATTCTTTTTATTTGGGATATTTATTAAGGTTAAAAAGGGGAAATAAGATAAGTTGAAAGTTTAGTTCTCTTCTTTTTCTTCGTTCTGTCGTCCCTGTACGCTCCATAGAAAATGTAGGGTTTCTTCAAGTTGGATTTTCTTTTTGTTTATAGTTTGGTTTTGAAGCCTTAAATGATATAGAAGCTTAAGAAAAGCTTAAGAGTGATAAAAACTAAGAGATTATTTATTTATTATAGATTTCATAAAATGGATTTTTAAGTGATTTGAAGAAATATGGTCAGTTATTGGACTTTAAAAGTATTTTTGACTTGTCAAAGAAGTGAGTAAGAGATTTGGAGCCTTAGAAGTGTTTGAAAACATGTTTGAAATTTGGGTATGATTCTTAGTTTTGAGTGTTCTTTGGAGATTTTGGATGTTATAAGGAGATTTATGGATGTAAGTTAATTTGGACAAGTGATAATGAGTTTGTGAATTATCGTATTGGCAATATGTATACAAATCCCTGTAATTCATAACGAGTTTATGAATTACCGTATTGGCACTATGTGTGCAAACCCACGTAATTCATAATGATTTTGTGAATTACAGTATCAGCACTATGTGTGCAAACCCACGTAATTCATAATGTGTTTACAAATTACTGTATCATCCCTATGTGTGCAAACCCACGTAATTCATAATGAGTTTATGAATTATCGTACTGGCACTATATGTGCAAATCCACGTAATTCATAATGAGTCTATGAATTATCGTATCGACGCTATGTATGTAAATCCACATGATTCATAAAGAATTTATGAATTACCGTATCGGCACTATGTGTGCAAACCCACGTAATTCATAATGAATTTATGAATTACCATATTAGTACTATGTGTGCAACCCACAGAATTCATAATGAGTTTATGAATTATCATATCGGCACTTAGGTGCAACACATGTACCATGCATTCTCATTTAACATACATTTGGCAAATAAAAGGATAAATTGGGAAAAATTCTAATTGATAAGTATGATGGTCATAGTAAACATTGTTTCGTATGTTATGTCAAAGAAACTTGGTTTAACAAGATAGTATTAAGTACAACTAAGCTTTATACGATTTATATTCATATTTTGATATTTTATGATATGCTTATATTTGGTTATACTTTATTGTTATTACTATTATTCCTCATTAAGTAAATACTAAGAGTACAAAGCAACTCCAAGCATCAATGAATATACTACAATATCAGTAAGACATCCTATGATGAAATTTTGACTCAGTTTAGTGGCATGTACTTATGAATGTCCTATTAGCTCTATTTAACTATTTTAGAAAATTATTTGTAATGGATCAATTGAATCATTTTATATTATTTTAAATATGGATAATATGAACTAGTATTATTAAATTGTTTTAACTAAAGAAACAAAATTTTACTGGTTTTCAAATATCGAAAATGTTTTAAAAGTTTTGCGACATCTGTGTCTCATGTATGAAAACGTATACAGGAAATGTGTATTACATTTATTGGTATCACAGCTATAGGTTTAGTCATTTCTAGACATGAAATGAGTATTAATTTTGTTAAGAATGTATACATGCCACTA